TATTTTGAGGAGCTTGACGAATCAGTCTATAGAGATGGCATTAATAGACTGGAACACCGCTATGAGAAATGTATCAGCCTTGGAGGAGATTATGTTGAGAAATAAAAAAAAAAAATTTTTAAAAACCTTGTTTTTCTTGGTCAGGCCGGAAACTTATCAATCCACCCTCGTATAAACAGCTGAATATAAAGATGAACCTAATATTTACGGAGAGATTGGACCAGACCAGATTTTTGAAATTTTTAAATAAACGAAATACCTGAAGGGACAAAAGAGGTAATAAAATTATCTACAATTTACAATGGAATTCTTAAACGTGGTTTTCCTAACTGTCTACTTAATGACTAATGGAGTATGCGGAAACAATATGTATTAAAAATCTAATTAAAAAATATCACGATCGCTTAAATATGCTAAAGAAAATATTTTACATTTGATTTTGAATATTTAGCGCCAAAGTAATTCACGAAACACCCCAAAATATTCCGTTGAATATGTATAAACACCGATATTCTTCTACGTGTAACCAGTGCGTGGCTCGATCAATAAGAATTTTAGCGGATAGGCGCAGACTTCTCCTGAACATTCTTGTTCCCACTGAAACTTATAAAAGCCGGCAACCGGCAAGCGGTTCATAAGTGCGAAGTCGTCGAAACCGTTCGTATGGGCAGAAATAATACTTTGTTAAAAACGAATAGTAACAAACGTGTTTGTTTATTTTAAGTGTGAGATAAGAATTATTTACTTACATACAAACTAAAATGTCGTTAATACCTTGGCATACATCTGGTCCATCGAGAGCCCTTTTAGATCCATATTTGGGTTTTCGTTTGGATGATGACGATCTTTTGGCTCCTCTAACACTGGCACCATGGGAAACACGGGCTCCATGGCACAGACAAGTGAGAAGGCCACGTGAATCTTACAACTATGAATCTCTACTACCTACAAATTTTGGATCCAATATAAAAGAGGATAAAGACAAATTCCAGTTGAATATTGATGTCCAGCACTTCTTGCCGGATGAAATTAAAGTCACAGCATCTGGAAATACACTGACCGTTGAAGGTAAACATGAAGAAAAACCCGATGAACATGGTTCAATTTCGAGGCACTTCGTCAGGAGATATGTTCTTCCAGAAGATCACGATCTAAACCATTTACAGTCGCACGTATCAACTGATGGTGTTTTGACCATTACTGCGCCGAAGATACCTGCTGATGGTAATGTGGCAAGAACTATACCAATTCAACATACAGGGAAGCCAAAAAGAGTTATCCTCAAGCACAAGTAAAAACGTAAAACAGCAATCTTTATAACCATCCTGGTACAGTTTAAGTATTTAGTATTTGTTGCATTATCGGTATCGCATGCAACGGTATGGCAACAGATTGCATAGGAAACACGCGTAGTATATATCATAAATACACTTATATATGTACAAAATACGTACATTACAAATACATTTACTCTACGCTTACAGTTTGTAAATGATTGTTTTTTGTAAATTATATGCTTAATGTTAATCAGTAAATTTACTGGCACACTAATAAAAAAGAAAAATATAATTTAATNGTGCGTGTTAGAAAAGTGAAGACTAAATCCGATGTTTTAAACGTGCAGTGTTAAAGGTTTAGTGCCTTTATTATTGTTAAGATATTAACTGAAAAATTTGTGTAAATAGATATTTCCAATTCATTTAATGTATCTTATAAGTTATGCTAACACGCTTGTATTAAAAAATTAGTGAAGAAAATTGTTATAGTGGTAATTGAAAGTTTTCAATGTTAATGTTTATGATTTTAAATTTCGTGACGTTTGTGTGTTTACAATTCAAAATTGGTAGCATGTAGTGACAATTTAAAATTCATAATGTTTTTTCTATGTGCTTTTCTATCGCAGTGTTAAATGTAAATTAATCGTTGTACTTTCTATTGTGTTTGGAAATCTTGTACATTTCAATTATTATTGAACGGGACCGTTCAAGGCGGGCGGTATGTTCAGAGACCGTTCTTCGTTTTGCAGGCCATAAAATTCCTGCATACAATTTTTAGAATACTTTGCAAACCTACAAGGCGGTGTTGTGTTTATTTGAGAGTAGACCCTTCGAGGATGGGTAGATAAATCAGTTAACTACTTAAATTAGTTTATAGGGGTAACGGTTTAAGAAGGATCCTTTATGATCCCTAATATAGTTTCATTTTTATTATGGGGTGTTTATTTTATGAGTTTAACGTTTAGAAAGTCCCGTTTGTTAATATTTTGATGTAGCTTTTTCACAGGTTGTAAACATCCCTCTTTCCACATATTTTGAGTTTTGAAAGCCCCGCCTTGTACGTCTCCACAAAGTTGTTCTAAAAGGGTTAATCACCAATGGTGACATTCGCCACACCCTTGGCATTTGTTCCTAGTTTTTAAGTTGTAGATATAAGATGTGACCAAGGACTTCAAAAGAAGCACTTGAACTAAGTCAGCACAAAAACGCAAGAGGCACTTGTGTAATCTTACTAATAATCGATGGAGATACTCTGTACATATTTGTAAATATATATTTAATTAAGTCGACTTCGCTGCAAGAGTGCTATTTTTTTCTACCTTCCACCAAAGAATTAAACAACACGCCTTATTAATTTAACGCGTGTGCTGATATTCCACTTACAATAGTAAGTTCCCGAATATCTGCCTGTGAAATTTAACAATA